CTGGCCAACATGGAGAAACCCTGTCGCTACTACAAATACAATATTAGCCAGGTGAGGTGGTGCATGCCTGTAATCCCAGCTATTCGGGAGGCTGGGGTAGGAGAATCACTTGAACTCAGGAGGAGGAGGTTGCAGTGAGCCAAGATCGCGCCACTGCATTCCAGCCTGGGCAACAAGAGCGAAGCTATGTCTCAAAAACCAAAAAAAAAGTAAAAGAAAAAATAGAAAATCATAATTAAGTATAGTACATAGAAAATATGAAATTCTATATTTCATTTTACAGTTTTTGGGGAGCAGGCTATCTTTCCGTTTTTCTCTTTTCTCTTCTCTCCCTTGAATACTGATGAAGAAACGCAAGTATTTTCCATCTAAATAAGTTCCCTGGGATGAACCTGTCTCAATGGTTTGATTAAAATCAGTTGGAGAAATATGTTTAGCCCTATTTACTAAAAGTACAGAAAAAGTCTGCTGAAGCAGTCATGTTCTAATTATCCTTCCACATTCCACTCCGGATAAGTCTGCCTGGCTGGAGCAGTCAGAGTTTTCTAGATTCAGCCAAACAATTAATTTCCTTTCCCTCTGCTTTTCAAAGGAAAACAGCTTCTTTTAAATAAGCATGTGGGAAAAGAAAATAAAATTTTAAAATGCTACATAATTCCTTCCTGTAAATACTTTTGTAGGGTACCAAACTCACTGAGGTAATTTCCAGCTCTCCTAATGATGACAAATATTCCTAATTATGGATAAATGTACACTAAATATTTTGATGTTGATAGTCTGTGCTTTTGCAATATTTTCTGTCTGCAAATATCTTGTCTGCAAATCTCCTTTGCGCCTTACTATAAAGCCATTATACCTGTTTAAACTGCTGCTGTGTCCAGCATTTCTCTACTTGAAAAAAAAAATATTCATTATGGTAGGGAAATGCTCATGATCAAATGATCCTTTTCATAATTACCACATAGCTGTTTAACGACAACTGGCTCAGTGAGCCCTGAAATTCTGCATAAAGAGAAGGCATCCCCATTGCCAAAATGAACTGAAATCTATTTCTGAGTCCTACAGGATAATTGTATAAACATTTACTTTTGCAAAAAATTTGAAGACATCATGCCAGGCATATAGTAGATATTAGTGAAGTTTACTGAATTGAATTATTGATCTGGTCATTACTTGATGTCAGTGGGGTTGCAGACAACTCCCTAGACCAAGTGTCCAGGTCTGTTTCGTGTTGCTATAATGGAATACTTGAGACAGTGATCGGGTTTATTTAGCTCACAGTTCCACAGACTGCGAAATTCAAGGGCATGGCCCTGCCTTCCACTGAGGGCTTTTATGCTGCATCACAACAGGGCAAAGAAGGTCAAAGGGGAAGTGGACACATGCAAAGAGACAAGGCCCGAGGAGCATCCTGGTTTTGTAAGACTCTCCCCTCTAGGGAATTTGTTTTTCCCATGAGAACTTTTCCAGTCTCCTCCGAGTGAGAACTGACTCACTACCTGGAGAACTGCACCAAGGCATTCAAGAGGGATCCACCCTCATGACCCAAACACCTCCTGCTAGGCCCCACCTCCCAGCACCACCAAGTTGGGGATCAAATTTCAATACGAATTTTGGAGCGGACAAACTCAACCATACCACCAAGATATACACAGGGACTGCAAGCGATCAGACTCCACAAGGTGACTTTCATTAAAGTCGCAGCTACTCAACAACAAGCTGTGGTTGTTTCCAGCCATCTACTCAACTCTCAGATGGTAGGCAACACTTTCAGTCCTAGAATACTATTATTACAGATTCTGGCTCATGCATAAGGGATTACACAAAAAACTGCAACTGTGAAAGTCACCAAGGGGTTACATTTGGCTTAAGCAATTAAATGAATGGCAGAATAGCCAAGTAGTCATACAAAAATTGCCCAGTCATTATAAGAATTTATGGAAGTAAGGGTCCACTTTTTATTGAGCATGCTTGTTTTAAAAGTGGGTTGTAGGAACCTTACCCTGGCATCTAGTTTAAATGGGCACTCCTGCATGGAGCAATGTGTGATGAGCTAGGCAGAGGAAACATCACAGCACCATCTGGGATAGGTTGGGCAGAGGAAACAATGTGGCCTATCTGTTTACTTCTGAAAAGCAACAGATCCTCAAAGGCAATTAGGATCCAAGAAGAAGCATCAGCAAAAAACAAAGAACACTTTTTCTAAGTTTGTTATTTATTCAATCTGTCCTTCATTGGCTAACTATTTACTGAGAATATACTATGTGTCAAATCTTGTTCTGGGCACTAAAGATAAAACACTGAAAAGTGAAAGCAAAGCTCTTGAGATCCTTTATTTTAGCAGGGGCTGAGGAGAATGAATAAGCAAACAAATGAATCCAAGCTGATTCAGATAGTGAAGTGTTTTAAAGACAATGAAATAAGGGGATCCAACAGAAAAGAACTCACTGGGGCAGATTAGATTGGGTGGTCAGATGAAGCCTTCTGAAAAGTGTTATTTCCGCAGACATCTATGTGGTATTAAGGAGTCTGCTATGCAAAGATCTGGTGCAGAGGATTCCCAGCAGAAAGAACAGCAAATACTACAAGTTAGATTTCTTCAACAAACCTAAATAAGCAGGTCTACATGGCTAAAACACAGTAGCTATGATCTACAGAAGCATGGTATAAGATAACTAGTTAGGGACAATAGTATATAGAACCTTCTAGGCTGTGGTAAGAATTACAAATTGTATTTGAAGTGCAACGAAAAAAAAAAAACAACCTCATTGGGCATGTTAAGAAAGGGCATGACACAACCTGATTGTTTTTAAAAGATCATTCAGCTCTTAGGAGGGTGTTGTTTGGGGTTGTGGAGGATAGCAATGAGCAGACAGAATGGGAGACTTTTGTGGTTGCCCAGGTGAGAGATGACAATAGCTTGGACTAAGGTTGTGGCAATAGAGAGGGAGCAAAGTTGATGACTTGGAGATATATTTTGGAAGTGAAGAAAACATGACTAATTAATTGAGTGTGGGGATGAATGAAAGCAACAAAACAAGGATGACTTCTAAATTTTTGGAATGAACAACGGAGTAGAACCATTTGAGGAGGAACAGGTTTGGAGGGGGTGGATATCCGGAGTTCTGCTTCTGAGATGCCTGTTAACCATGATAATAATAGTATCTACCTTGTAGGGTTGTTGTGAACAACGAATACGAAATATGAGGAGAATTTAGATCTGTACCTGACATGTAGTGATTCTTCAATAAATACCAGCTATGACAATTATTCCTCAAGTGGAGATGTAAAGGTAGTGGAGGACATAAAAGAGTTCTGTTGTGAGGCCAGGACTAAAGATACAAATCTGAAAGTTATATAGGATTCAATGTTGCTCAAACCATTTTTGGTGAAGAACTTTTATCTTTATCTACCATGGATCAACACTGCAGTGAACTAGATGTGTTTGAATCTCCAAAATTCATATGTTCGCATTCTAACCCCCAAGGTGATGATATAAAGAGGTGGAACCTTTGGAAGGTGGTTAGGTCATGAGGGTGGAGCCCTCATGAACGGGACTAGTGTCCTTATAGAAGAGACCCCAGAAAGTTCCCTTGCTCACTTCCACCACGTGAAGACACAGCAAGGAGTCAGCAGTCCATGAGCTCGGAATTGGGCCCTCATCAAATAAGGAATCTGCCTACATCTTGATCTTGGACTTCCCAGTCTCCAGAAGTGTGAGAAATCAGTTTCTGTTGCTTATAAGCCATCCAGTCTACGGTATTTTGTAATAGCAGCCTAGAAGACAAAGACAAGCACTTTTGTGAAATCCAACAAAACTGAAGGCACTTTTAAGAGCACTAGTACTCAAAGCCAAGGGAGGCCCTGGAGGAGGCCCTGAGACACATTTAACTCAAGTACCTCTGAGTGTATTACGGTGGAGGCACAGGAGAGTTCAGTAGGCTGAAATAACACAACGCTTGCTTACACGAACACCCGAGCAAGGGGAACTCACGCAGATTTACAAGTAATCTGTTTTAATTAGGTGTAAGAAAAAAAAGCCCATTCACTCCTGCAGGAACTCCCTCCTCTTCGCACAGATGTGGTATCTGAAGAGCAAGACACTGCTTCTCCACTACCTCCACCCAAATACTTCAGTGTAATCATCAGAGGTACAATCTAGCGCTCGGACTGCATTCAGTATCTCAAGCTCCTTCCCTACCAAGCTGGGCTCCACTTGGGCACAGAACGATTATCAGACTTGGTAACTACCAAGCTGTTCCCTAAGGATGCTCTTAGGCCCCAAGCATAAGCACCTCCGTTAATAATTCACCACTCTTGCCTTGTCATAGGCTTTTCTTACTCAAAACTCTGCTCCAGCGAGTGTTCCGGGGGCCTGAGGCAGTTGGCACGGGCTAGGCCAGAGAGCACCTGCACTGATTCTTAGGAGAAAAGGTCCTCTTTCTGGGTGAGAAAGTCAGTAAAGTACAGGACGCTTTATAAAGTCCTTCAGGCAGCAAAACTTGCTTAACTTCACACTTTCTTGACAGGCAATACCCACGCAGGCAATACCTCCTCCGGGACCCGTAGCAGGCAGGCTGCTGTGCCTGGCAGGCCGGCTCCTGGGTACAAGGCTCTCGCGCAGCCCAAGACAGCAGCGCGCGGGCTGCGGGAGAGTGGAGTTGCAGGGACCCGGCGGAGAGCCGCTGTCACTCAGAGAAGCTCTCGGGACTCCGGGGCTCCCGCGAAGCTCCGGACGGGCGTCGCCGAAGCCCAGAGTCCCGGCCCAGCCCCTCCGCACGGTGGGCGCCTCGCCCAGGCGAGCGCGCGAGGTCGGGCGGGGCCGGGGGCCGGGGGCCGGGGGCCGGGTGCCGCCCGGGGAGGGGGCGGGGCCGGGACTCTGGCTGCAGCGCGCCGGGGTTGGGAAGCTGCCCCTCCGGCCGCGGCGGGCGAGGGGCTGCGCCGGCCGCGAAGCGCATGCGCGCTGCCGAGCGGCTCCCGCTCCCTCCCCGCCCACCTCTCCCTCCTCCCCCTCCCCCTCCCCTGCATCCTCGCCGCTCTCCCTCTCTCCTCGCCCGCTGGGTGCTGAAGTTGGGCGGATGGCAGCAAACCGACTCTGCTAGAGGACCGAGCCACCCAGCCCCGCTCCCCTGGACCCATCGGCGCGCTGCCCACATCTCCAGGCGACCGGGTAAGACGCTGCCTCCAAACCGAGCGGTGCTAAGTAAATGACATCAAAATGTCTGCTTTGCACCAATGGATGGATTTTTTTCAAGGTAGGGGGGAGGTGAAGGAAGGAGGGGGCGGAGAGCGCGACCGCCCATGCCCCGGCGGGGGCGGTTGCGCGGCGCTGGGGTCTAGGCTGTGGCCGCTGCGCCCTGGGCGGGAGCGGGGGCTGCGCCGCGGGTCCGGGAAGTTGAATCCCGCGTCGCTGCCTAGACGCGGTCCGCTAGCTGCCCTCAGCTGCTGCGGGGAACCGAGCGAGTGTCCTGCCCGCCAGGAAACGCTCGGCCAGGTCCCAGAGTTCCCGCGGAGAGCCGGGCGCCTGCTGGGGGCGGCCAGGAGGGCCGGGCCGGGGGCGCGGGAGACCCCCCGGGGGCGCGAGGTGCCGCGGGTTTTGTGCGGTTGGCTGGGAGCGAGGAGAATGTGCAATAACAGTGTCCAATGGACCGATCACCTCGGGTGCTGTGTTTCCTCCTTTATGTCTCTTTACCTTTGGGAATATGCACTGCTCAGGTGGGGAAGGTGTTCGCAGAAGAGGTTGCGAAAATGAATCCTTTGAGCAGCAGTGAAATACCGGAGGGGTGTGTGTGTGTGTGTGTGTGTGTGTGTGTGTGTGTAGGGGGTGGGGGGTCTCTTTTGTTCCTTCCCCTCCCCTTAGTCAAAGGAAAGGGAGTCCTGGTGTGTGCAGCGCGGGGTGGATTCTACAGCCACCGAGGGGGCGAGGACGAGGAACGCCCACCAACCGCGAGCCGCTGCCCGAATGGGCGCATCGGAGCCTCCTTTGCTGTAGGTGATGATGGTCTTTCCGTGATCGATGGAATCAGTTTAATCTCTGCCTCCCCGCCGGCCTCCCTGCTGTCCCTCTTCGAGTGCTGCGGCAGAGGCTGGGTGCAGACACGGCCGCTTTCTGCTCTTCTCCCTGCCTCTCTGTCTCCCTGGAAAATGCCGGAGGACTAGAGAGGATGGCGGAGGGACAGAGCTGGCCTCGGAAGCTGCGGGTGGGAGCTGCTCCTCGCGAGCCGGAGGCTGCTGGCACCGCGTCCGGGGCAGCCCGCGCCAGCCTCGGGAGTCCCTGGGCTCCGGGAGAGCGAGCCGGGGTCGCCTGGCCACAAAAGATGCCCGCGCGCCCGCCCGGCGTACGGGACCCGCCCTGCGCCCTGAGCCCTGCGCCTCGCCCGGAGCCCGGGACGCCGGCTTACCTGGGAGAACCCCTGTCGCCCAGGGACGATTGACCCTGGCTCCTGGCATAACTCTCCTGACCTCCCCTGACCTTTCCGTAAATGCTTCTTTCCTTAAAAGAGTCTCTGTAAGGTTTGTCTGGAGAACTTCACACGCTTCAGAGTTCTTTCTTTTCTTAAATTGTTTTACGGCGAGATTCTCTCCAGCGTGGGATCGCTTTCACAAATAATAAAGAGAAATCTTAGTTTGGTTCCCATCTAGAATAAGCAGTTCTGAGGCTGGGTGCCATCTGCATTTCCGGCGTTCATACATACTGGTTTTCCGGGTGATAAACCCTTCTGAAAATCATTTAATTGAAGACGTGAGAATTGATTTTTATTCGTGTAGTGGAAAATAATGCTTTCCTCCTCAATTCATAGCTGCTAGACGCTGCGTGTACGAAATAATTTGCAAACCGTGAAACATTTAAAGTACATTGTACTTGTTTCCAAAGTCTTTTGTAGTAAGAGTATTATCCAAGAAATATACATTATAGCACTCCTATCTAATGAAAGGGTGGTTTAATACAAATGAATGAGAAGTTTGACCCCCTCCTGTTGTTACTATTGTTAAGCCATTTCTTCTGTTAACATGAACTAAAACAGTAATTAGCACACTCATGGGAGACTGGATTTATTCACTAGTTTTTATAATCTTTTGAAACCTACACTTAGAGCGACCATAGGAAAGTAGTTTATTTAGTTTTAGGCAACGAGAAAATAAGCGTTTGTTATTACAAAAAGATGGGTGGTATTATTTATTAAATAAGATAAATCTCCATGGCAATGACATCTGATCTCAGAGCCACGGGCACTCATCCTTCCTCCTGAAACTAGTCTGAAAGATTAAGAAAACCGTCTAATTTACAGAACAAACAACATAAGGTGTCTGTTATGCTGATTGATTTCGACCCTTTTTGCTATAGTTCCTCAACGACTCCTTGGCGTTTAGTCCCCATGGAAGGGAATTAACAAGGACAGTTAATTTACTATCCTGTTCATTCTAAGGCAAACAGCATTTCCTTCTCAAATAGGTATCTCTTTGGTTGTAGGGCTCTTTCTCTGAGGTACTCATTTATTTGAATTCATCATGTTTAAGGTCTAAGTTCATTATCATTCCTATAAATATTTTATACTTTTGCATAATAAGAAATGATAATAAAAATAATAAACCTTCCTTAACATTTCCTGCCACGAGGGTCATGGTCTTTGAAGAAAAGGAAAAATATATATTCTTACCCATTTGTTCTTGTTACAGCCAAGTAAAAGTGAAAATTTTGAATCTGAATTGATCAAAATTCTGGTTGACTTACAGAGTAAAGTCTAAGAAAGAATTTACCTGTTCATCTAAAGCTGTAGAGATAATGGCCTTTGTGTCAGAAGTCCATTTGCTAAAATCATGGGCTTTCCTGGAAAAGGAAGGTAGGCATGGATAATGATGTACGACGCTAAGAGGGCTAGGAGTCCATTCAACCACATTTCTGCTGAGAATCCTGTTTCTGATACTCTCCAGCTCTGCTTACTTAACACTGAAAATACTGCACTACCAAGGAGGGCAAATCGAAGGACCACTATATATCCAGAGGATGAGAATAATGCTATGTGATGTTAAAAGCATTTTATTTCACCTGATCGCTATAGTTAGAGTATAAGTGTGAATGCATTGGGGAGGCTTAAAATTATATGACATTTCCAAGAGAGTGTCATGGGTCCTCAGACAAATATATTTTTATGGAAAACCTTAAAATAATCCTTTGCTATAGGTAGCCAATAGGTAACCAAGACTTTCAATGTGAGACTAATGGATACTCCCACCTTCCTTCTCTCCCTACCCACAGTTATCTCTGAAAAAAAGACACTTTCCTAACTTCCAAAGAAATTCATTTAGACTATTATTTCTGCTATTGTGCCAGCACCTGGCACGGTATCTGGCAAAAGCAGGTGTAAAATAATTTTTCCTAAATTAATACATTTTGCAGGGTCGACATGGCTCACAAAAGTCTTCCAAGGTAAGAATTGCATTTTTAAAATCAGCACTTAACACTGTTTACCAAGTACACTAGTTGGGCTCCTGAAACTCATGTTTATGGTTCTACATCTTTGGAGGAAGCAATTTTCAGAATTGTCATTTTGAGAATATATATGTGTTTAATACAACGTTTATGTTACTGATTTGTTTCCCAATTATAAAAGCAATATTTGCTTATTTTAGATCCCCTACAATACAAAATTACCTATTGGCAGATATGGATGTGAAGAGCACAAATTTTGGGTCAAGCTGGCCTTAGCTTGTATTGTGGCTCCTCCCTTTAAAAACTTTATTGCTGTAGGCAAGTTACTAATCTGTCCTGAGCCTCAGTTTCCTCAGACATACAAGAGGGATGAAGGCAGGATGCAAGCATAAATACAATGCAGTGTATATAAAGTACTGAACAGAGTGCTTGGCATGTACTGAATGCTTATAATTATCTCAATATCTAAAGAATTGCTATTGAAAACACAGCATAGTTTACCACAAGTTTATTTTCTTTATATAAATGTACCATTGTTTTAAGAATTTGAATCATGTTGTAGAACAGGGGTCCCCAACCCCTGGGCTATGGATGGGTACCAGCCCATGACCTGTTAGGAACCCAGCAGCACAACAGGAGATGAGTGGCTGGTAAGTGAGCATTATCTCCTGAGCTCCTCTTTGTGTCTGATCAGCAGCTGACATTAGATTCTCATAGGAGCGTGACCCCTATTGTGAACTGTGCATGCAAGGAATTGAGGTTGTGCACTCCTTATGAGAATCTAATGCCTGATGAACTGATGTGGAACAGTTTCCTTCCAAAACTATTCCTCCACCCCCACTGCCATCCGTGGACAAATTGTCTTCCACGAAACTGGGCCCTGGTGCCAAAAAGGTTGGGATGGCTGTTTTAGAACTTCATACTTCTAAAAAAAATTAACATTCCTTTGTTGCTGTTTCTCAAGAAATTAAAATTGATATTTTTAATGCGATTTAGTGACTGCAAAATAGTTCACCTTATGGATGTCTTTATTTAGCCATTCTTTTATCTTTGGGTTTTGATCCTCATGCCTAAATTTTGTATGCATATCTCTATTGCACTTTCTCCTTTGGGCACGATGCTTAGAACAGCTAGTTCTTGCCAACATAATGCCATTCTTTAAAAAATCTTTGCTAACTTGATAGGTGAAAATAATATTTTTCAAACTTTTATTTCTTTGGCTACCAATAAGACTGATTACTTTTTGACATACTGGTAAGCAGCTTTCGTCTTTGAGGATGGCTCGTTCAAGTCTTTAGCCTGTGTTTCCACTGCTATTCTGGTCCATTTCTCTTATTTGTTTGAGTGCTAATATTAATTTTTTAAAAGGCAACAGCAAACAAGGAAAGGAAATGCTCAGTGACAAAGGCTCCATGTGGTAAAGACACAAAGATCACTGTGGCTAAACCAGAAAGGCTGGATCAGCCAGGGTATCGGGGTTCATCACATACTGCTATACCCCCGAGTTTTCCAGACTTTACTGTTCTTTTTAGAAGTCTAGAACCAGTAAACAATTTGCTCACAAACACCTTACTATGAGAAGCTTGTGTCTGAAGAGTTCCCAGATAGTCATGGATTGTTTCTGCCAGTTGCCAATGTTATGGAAGAACTTCTGAGTTTTTCTGAGATAAAGGGGTTGAAAGGAAAGATGGGAGTACATGGAGAGCCTAGGGACGTTCATTGTGACTTCTCATCAGAAT